TTCTTTCTGTGCTGAATCAACAGAACAGGGCTGCAACAGACCTGCCAGGGAGCAGTGACCAATAATCTGATTATTCAAAGTAGGCAGGACACAGTGAAGTCTTCTCTGAAAGTAGGATCTTAAATAATGTTAATTATGTAAAAAAGCACAGTATCTACTTAATCATAGAAGCTGGCTTGTATCTATTCTCTTCAATAATAGATGAAGCAAGTATAACTCTTTGCATCCAAAATTCAAGGCCCATATATTGTCAGAACTCCTCTCAAATGTGATAATGTATATTATGCATCCCCCATTCTCATCCAGGTTATCCACAAGTAATTTCTGCTTTTCTCACACTGACTCATTCTTCATCCTTATTAGCTGAATTGTTAATGAAAATGAATCTCTACTCATGAACTGAATGTTCATGTATTTAATTTCTACTGGTTTGGCTAGTTTTGGTCAGACACACGGACCAGATTCTTTCCCCTATTTCCAGTCAGGAAGAGAACACCTGGGCATTTTATTTTGAACTCTGTTTTTTTTTAATATTGCCCAATGTTTGATTAAAGTTTTCAACTTCTCAAGCACTATTACCATTTCACTTAATGGGCTAATAATAGGAACTACAGATAAAAGAAGACATAAATGAAGAGCTTGCAAAAAAAATCAGTTATTTGCATTGCTTTCTTGGGTTTGGTTTCAAAGTCTATAAAAGTCACAAAACTGTCTTCTTTGCCCAATTTGTACTGAACAACTCCGGCCTGCTTTTCAAAAACCCTTTGAAAGGCAGCATCTCTGTCCCTGATAGTGGTACACAGACACAGCGCTGTCCTGCAAACTGCTCATCACTTGGCTTCAGGATATTTGCTTCAGGATATCTCTGAGAAAAACCTCTTACTCTCTAGCAAAAACAGAAAGCAAACCTGGAGTGGTACTCTCTCTGATGGATCTTGGACAGCTGATCACTGATTACACAGCCCAAGTGGCAAAGTGCAAAATATGCTCATAATTAACATTTTAAGAAGAAGATAAACCCCAAAGGAAAACTACATGTTAAACTACAAGTATTGACCGTAAAGAGGAAACAGAATGTCCTTATTGGAACATCTCTCCTTAGCATCTTACCTGAAACATTCTGTCTAGCCTGTAATTCAGTAGGTAAGATGTGACTGTCTTCTTTACAAGTACAGCATGTTAAATTACTTTAGAGTTGTTTCTATAAATATAGCATGCCAATGCCTACTGACTGATTCTGCCACCTAGGAGCTTTATTTGCATTCAGCAATGAAGCAGTTGAATATACCTTTTTAAGGTATAATTTTTAATTGAATTTTTAAGGTATTTTGTAATTCAATTTCAATTAAGTTATAAGGCTGCCTACATCACAATGTAAAATGTAAATTCGTTACATGTGGCAAAAGTCTTTACAAAAATGTTGGAGCTGACCACAGCCTTTGCTGCTTGTCTCACCCACACTAAAAATATTGTGTGACACAAAGTATAGTATAAGGCTGCGTAACAGACAGCTATGTCTGTACTCAGGTTTCATAGGGAGCAAGCCACAGAAATATTATTCCCTCATTCCTCTCTCCTGAGCCTCTTTAAGTCTTATGCCTATGTACATATTTTCTGGGCCATTTATTCTATCCTATGCAGAAGAACACTATTAAACAGGTAACATGGCAAGGACTGGAAAAATTTATATATGTCCTATCAGCATAAACAAATCTGTGGATCATGCTCAGGAAAGCTCTAAAGCTGCAGGAGCATTTCATTAGCCTGAACATGGGTAGTGTTCATTTAAACAGGTCTGCAAGGATGGCATCTCTTTCTCTACCAGTTTATTCAGAGATGACCCAGCATGTAGTTCAGTACTGCACTTCTAAGCACATATTTCTTAACATGCTGTTTGCTCTTTTGTGCTTCAGGATACATTTTCATTTAGTCATGACAGCATAACCAGCTGTCTATCTTTTGCTTTCTGTGGGCCAATAACCCCAGCGTGCTCCATTAATTAAAGCCATGGCTGTTATTGAGTGGAACAGCCCTATACTCATGAGAGTATGAAAAAAAGTTATATTCACTGAAGGAGATTGCTCTGAGTTTTAAGTGCATTTTTAACGTGCATTCCTTTTTTTTTTTTTTGTGGAGATTTGCTAGATTATATTTTTGAAGTTCAAGATCACTGTAAAGAAAACATATTCAGCTAATAACCTGAAGCAACATCTGAACAAGAAAGACAAAAAGGTCCTAAGCAAGGAAAACTCTTTTAAATATTTCAGTACTGCTTAGGTGATTAAAACATTAAGCAAAATTTAGAACAATTATTTTAATAGACTAAGGAGTTTATTCAACTCTAGAGTTGAGTCTACTTTGATGATTAAAATACAGGGAAAAGAACCAGAAGACAAAGTCTATTTTCAGCATTAGCACTGACTCACTGTGTGATATTAAGCAAGTCACTTAATTTACTGCCTCACTCTGTCTCACCTGTAAAATGAAGGAGCCTGCCTCACAAGTGCTGTGTGGGATTACTTAATTAAACATTTGCTATGCACCTAACATTTCTTGAATGCAAGGTGCTGGAAAATTTATTTTTGAAGATGCATAAAAACAGGATACAAGAGCAGAATCAGATAGTTTCTGTAAAGGAAAATACACATCTCTTTCATTTGATTCATTCTTTTCTTTGGATTTCTAAAGCATGACAACAACATAATTAACTACTGGACCTGTTAGTCAGCCACACAAGTGAGCTAATTGGTGAGATCAATATTGGCAGCACCCTGGGCTGCTGTGGTCACACACTGGTGGAGTTTGCAGTCCCCAGGGATATGAGTTAGGTGAAGAGTAAAGTCAGGCCCCTGAATTCTAGTAAAGCAAAGAAAAATTTCCAGCTCTTCAAGGAGCTGGAAAAGCAAAAGGAGCCCCCAATAAACCATCCTCAGAGAAAAAGGAGCAAAACAGAGCTGGCAGACCTAGACATTTTCCATAGAGTGCAAGAGCTCTCAATACCCAGGTGTAAGAAATCAGGAAAGGACATGTGGGACAGGGAGGAGATTTGAGTTATTCAGCATGGCTTCATCTAGGGCAAGCGGCCAACCTAGTGGCCTGACTACATCACATATTCTAGAACTCTAAAACTGTGAGTCAAGCCCTTGAAATAAGTTTATAAGTTGAAAAAAATCATTGTCACAAACTAGGCAGACCAAACCATAAGTAGGAATAAAAATATATCATTATTCTTTAGTAGATCACACAACCAAAATACTGAGTTTTTTCTATGATGTATAAGCAAGTTTATATCCAATGGAAGTGAATGGCAGTGATTTAAATCCAGAGAAAGGAAATAAATGTTTTTTCTAAAATAGAATTTTTACTCATCTCATTGCCACACAACTTTGTTGGAACCAAGATCTCAGTGAATTCAAGAAACAAACATTTCTATGGAAACACGAACATCCACTGTGATATTCTATTAAATGAAAGAGTTACAAATCTGTCATGTTGCAAGGTACAAGATGATTATTAAAACTACTAATTGGAAGGCATGTACAAACACCACCTGTGAAGCCGATTTGCCAGCTGATCTCTGGACTGAGCTGGTCAGGTCACTGCGGGAGCAGAGCCTGGAGGTGTTCTAGTGGTCACCTCTGGTACAGCAATCTCCATGCTGATGAGGCTGAGCAGCACACAGCCCAGCTTTGGCCTCCTGCTACTCTTACCATAGCTGTGTTATAGAAAATGTCAGGTTTGATCTATCATATAGCCAACTACATCAGCAATTTTTTGACCACAGAGGAGTTATTACCTCACAGTGCAATTTAGCAGAAAACAAAAAGCAATGCTTTTTACTAACACTCCCATGAGCTCCCATAAAGGAGCTCGTCAAAACCACAGTGAGCAAAGTAAAAACACAAAGTAATGTCATCAATGACATATGCAGAGGTTATGTGTTTCCTCTATAATTGCTCACATCACCAAGGACTTTTTTTGAAGACAATTATGGTTATCTTAAGCATTCACAGAAATATCACTGCTGCTTTCTGTTGATTTCAGCTAATCCTAGATTGAGGCCTTTATGTAAAACATGGTCATAAGTTCTTTACAACCTTGGAATGAAGTTCGTGCTTGGTATTCTATGAAGACAACAGACAGGAAAATTGAGATGCTCTATCCTTTTAAAAGCATCTTTCTAGGTTAATAAAGGAGCTCTACAAGTTCATTTGGTAGATATAAATGCATGTCATTTATTTACTTTCATGATAACATTTTCTATGCTGTGAAACATGGATCATACTACCTTACTCATACAAATATTAAATATAATAAGAAATCATGATCGTAAATTTATTATATATTTACCTTGTTTCTACTAAATTATCATGCCAGAGACATCTAGACAAAACCTTAGGCTCTCCACCCATGGTAGCAGAGCCTTTAGCTCCACATTTCAGAGCTACAGATGAAGATGGAAAAATGCAGCAGTAACACCACCACAGGTTATAGTTATACTAAAAAGAGTCAGTGACTCACTGTGAATGTGTACTTGGCCTGCATGCTTTAGGGATGAGTGAAGATTACTGAAGACAACTCTTTCTTTTATTCTCCTTTTATTTTGCTTATTACTAGCTAGTACTACTACATTCCTTATATGAAACCAGATTAAGAATAAACAAGAGGTGCTTGTCATCCAGCATTAATACAGTACCATGTGCTTGGGCACAGCTACTTGCACATACATTTTAGCAGCTGTTTTTTTCCTTTCTGCCTGTCCATCCACAACAAATAGGTATTGCTGCCTGGCACAATACAGGTAGCTTTTCTACACCCAGCCCACACCTTTAACCCAAGCTCTGCACCCTGAGAGCCTCCTATGTCACTACTGTTCCTTTTCTCATCCCTTCTGGGCCAGGGAACTCCCTTCTCCACTTCAGTGTCAAATACTGACAGCAAGTTTTGCTTTTACTTTTGTGTCCCAGTCCACGCAGAAATGTAAGCACACGGAGCAGTGATTGCTCTCTGATGCAGCTTTACAAGCTGGATAAATTGCTTGCTTTCTCAGCTGATACTCACTGTGCTTAAAGGATCCTTTGTCCTAGAGCAGCAGTTTCTTAAGGAGTATGAATCAGGGAGGCAGGAGGTGGCAGAAGGAGCTCCACTGCAGTTTTACAGGCCAATCCTCATGATGACTGGAGCTGGACTCCTCCTAGTGCCTCAGAAAGTTACAAGAAAAGGGAAGGGCTCAGGATATGATATCATGCACTCATTCTAAAAACAAGGAAATTGTTGTAGATAATTTAAAAAGTAACAGGTTAAAAATCCTGAATGGCCAATACGGAAAATTACTTTTTAAATTTATCTCCTACTTTTTCCAGTGAAACATTTCAAGAAATAAAAATTACAAAGTTAGAAAACTATGTTTTCATCATTAGTAGGACAAGCCTAGGAGACCTATTACAGCTGAGCCACCTCAGAGCAATGCTTGCTGCTGCCTCTGTCAGAGCTCAAGCTTTGAGCTTGTTGCCAGCTCTGCTGAGGCAAATATACCCAGGCCCAACACAGCTGGGTCTGCAGCCACAGCTGGCTCTGTGTAAGCAGCAGGGACCCACGTGTATCCACTCCTTGCCAGTATCCTGACTTGTTCACTGCCTTTCTCAGCAAAAGTAAAATCTTCTAAAGCATCTCAGTGATTCAGGAATCCAATTAATATTTTCTAAAGCAATGTAAGCAAACAGGATTTTAATTCTTATGAAAAGTCAATGTGATTTTGTGCAGATTTGCCAGGTTAAGTTTTTCTCCTTAGATCCTTTTCTAATTGCAAGTCTGCTTCAGAAATTATTTGCAGGGATATATTACTATAAATGTATTTACCAGGTCCTTGTCTACAGCTTTTAAAAAAGAAATTAATAAACATTTGAAGCAAAGCAGATGTCCTAACTCAGCACAATTGTTCTTTACCTGGATTTAGCTTTTTCTGTTTTTACTTCAGATCCAAAGCAGCATTTGCATGCCTGGAAGCTTCTTTGTCCTTTCCAGCTTTATCAATTTGTCTTCTAAGCCACTCATTTTTCTTTCAAGTTGTCAGGATAATTTTGTTTCTATTATAATCCCATAAAACACACTCATAGGAAAATTTAGCCCAGATTTCAAGCAAGCAACATTTTAATGCTGTGTTAGGAATCACTACGTTCTCTGTTATGGAGGTCGTTGTGCTTGCCTTTCAAATTCTTCTTTTTGTATTAAAATTTTCCTGTGATTCTTGTGCATGCAACTCATCCAAGACTCAGCATTAAGGCCACCCATGAGTGATATTATAGTTTATAAAAATTTTCATAAATGTATTGGCTTTTAGTTTAGTGGCTGGGATTTGGAGGACCCCAAATTATCATATTAAATCAGTTTAGGGATCAGGCATTCTGTGTTTCAGTATTTGTCAGTATTCTTGTACTGAGCTGCACAACAGGGTGTTACTCTTGCAGCTCTATTGTTAAAGAAGAAATATTTTGCTGCCAGATTTCTTGTTCTATTTGTACCTTTTGTTAGTGAACTTTCAATTTCAGGAACTTGTTCTATTTAAGAGGATGAGGGAAGAACAATACTTTATAATATATTATTTATTAAACAGATGCTGGTATTATCAATGCTCGTTTATCCGGTGGTGATGCATCTCCCAAATAAACCAGCAGCAGCAGTAAAATAAACCAGAGCACAGAACCATTTTCTTCATAAAGATTCTGGGGACTTTTTAACTACTTGTACTCTGGAATGAAGGATCTGGGGACAATGACTTCTCAAGTTGTTTATTAGTTGGAAGACTGTGATTTAAGATCACTAATACATTAATTTTTGTAGAATTTGGGAAGTCCGTCTAAAAAAACTGTGATAGAGTTTACAGATGTATTTTAGTTTCTCTGCTCTCACCTTGATTTTTACTAGTACCAGAAAACCTATAGAGGTGATCACCTGGATCTGAGATTTCCTAAAAGAGCAAAGACTTGCCACAGCTCTGGATTTGATTTGGACATTTCATGTATTCACACACTGGACTGCAAACCACACCTTTGAAGTGTTCATAAGACAAGAGAGCTGGAACTGCTGCTTGCCATGAAGGGGGCAGGGGCACCTCTGGTGTGCTCCTACTCCTCTGCAGCCCCAAGGGGGTTAATCTGCAGTGAACATCTGGCTGCAGCACCCAGGGCACTGCTCAGCCCGAGCTCTGAGGAGGTGGGTACTGCCTGCATCATGCTCCTACTCTGAATCTGCAGCAAATAAAACAGATGGTGCCTTGGAATATTTCAGAGGAGAATATTCTGAAGACAACACACTCAGTTCTAACCAGGCTTTGAGGTCAAACAGATGAAGTAAGCCTTGGTTAACCACAGACACGTTGGTGTTCATTCTCTTCTTGGTTCTCTGCAGATTTTAGTATCTCTCTGATTGCATCCTGAGTTCCTTCAGTGTGAGCATGAGAAGCAGGATAACTGTGCACAGCTCTGTTTTGTTTTGTTGCATTTCTTTTGCTTCTTGCCAGAAAACCATCTTTTTCTTAGATTCTTGTGTGTTCTCCTTCTTCCTCTTTTTCTTCAAGATTTAATTAGAATTATGAAATAATTTTGATTAAAAGGAATCACTGGAGATAACCTCATCCTTTACCTGCTAAAAACAGAGCTTCAAAGTTAGGTCAGGTTGCTTAGCACTTTGCCTGGTCTAGGTGCAGACATTCCAGTCTCCCTGGGCATCCTGTTTAAGGGTTTCACCACCCTCACTGTGAACTCCATATGAAGTATAACTCATGTTCCTCTCTCATGTTCATATAAAAGGCTGGGAGGTTTCCTTATGCTAACATACAGCATCTGGTAGAAAACCTGGACAGGGAAGAAGTTTTCTTTTGGGAAAGAAGTGGAAGGGATTTGTAACATGGGGAAATGAGGAAAAGCCAAGATTTAACATTTATAGTAGGAGAGACACTGATGAGCAGCAGTAAAAGGAATCATGGCAGTGAGAGAGAAAAGCAAGGACTGCTTCACAGGTCAGGCAAGGTTGTGTGTGGGAGGAGAACTTGGATGATGACAAGGCAGGACCATAACTGAAGTGGTCACCACCCCCAGATTTGGGTACCTCTTACAACCCTAAATAAACCTTCAAGAGTGTGTCATAGCTAAAAATATCTTGCCAGTTCTGGCATGAAGTTGACTGCAGGAGCTTCCAGAGCATTTTGCTCTCCTGGCACCCTGTGCAATTCCAGTTGGATAGTACTTCACATTTAAAACAGTGCTGATCTTTTGGTCTGCTGCTGTTCTGTTCCAGAGCAAGTTGCCTTTTTGAAGAAAGAAGCACAGGTTCTGCAGCATGCAAACATAGGCAACACATAACATTTATACAGGGGCCCTGTTTATAGTAACTCCAGATTCAATTACACTTAATTCTCTTAAAGACTGCTGGACTAAAAAATGCTTTATAGATATATGCAGATATTCTTCTTCATAACAATACCAAGGAGTTGGAGCAGTGATGAGAAATTTTAGTAGTCAGCAATATGAGGTAGAAAGCATTTTCCAATACTGATAAAAAGGAGAACAGAAATTGAAGAAGAATAATTTTCTTTTGCTGATTATTTAATTGTTCAGGAAAATACAGTGTGATTGTTAAAACTGCTCTCAGGTGTATAAAAACAGTGCTAGCAGCAATTGCACTTTGCAATAGCAGAGTGCAAAGAAGAATACAGATGTGTGAAAAGAGGGAGAAGATCCTTAAGAAGGATGAGTTTGTGTTCATAAGAACCGAAGCCTAGGTGATTTATAATAGGAAATCACTTTTAGTGATTTAAACGTGTTAACTGATGATTCCTCCCAAGACTGTTGTGAAGCAGGGAAGGATTATGCCTTGTTTTGACAGATGGAGAAAAGGCTAAGTTCTTACCAGGAACTTTGCCAGCTCCTTTCAATGTAGTTTCCAAGGAAGATCTTTCCCTTCAGAAATCTTGAAGCTACAGACATCTCTCAAAGCTTCTCTGTTACCATGGGAGAGCAGAGATGGCCATAGGTGCTGAAGGTACTGGCCTGGCCTTCTTGGAACTCTGACTGGATTCAATCGGAACAAAGAACAAGCAGAAACAACCTTTCCAATGTGATGACTCACCCTGCCAGAGGAAGATTAGTCAATGGAAATTTGTGTGTGCGCCTGTATTAGTCAGTAAATATGTACCCATGCCTGCACAGGGCCAGGGGCAAAGCACCAGGGCAGTGGGAGTGCAAGGCTGAGTGGAGCAGTCACAGCTTTTTTGCTGTTGGCACTCCAGCATCAACAGAAGTAAGAACAGAGGAATGCCAGGCTGATTTCCAGTACTGTAACAGAGTTAACGTGTGAAGGATGTCAGGTACAGAGTCTCAGCTCCCCTGTTTACCCTTTGTGTTCAAAATCTACCCAAGGCACAGTCCAACCTTTCCCCAAAACAAGCTCTTTTTGCCTCATCTGGGGTCACTACAGGACTGTTAATTTTTCCTAGATTTTTTCACAAGGAAAATTATTCACTCTAAAACTCAGGTAACTAGGTTCATTTTACACTGCCCTATTAATCAGTAAAGTGGTAATGTGGTAACCAGAGTCTCACAGTGATAAAGGTAAGTAGAGATTTAAGAAGTTTGCGTTTAATAAATATTCGTTAAAAAGCCAGTCTGCTTCTTTTCTGCTTCTTCATCCTGGTGATTGACCACACTTGCATCAGTTCATATATACAGTCAGGTGTACCTTGGCTTTGCTGTTCTTTCCCAGAAGTTTATGAAACAGAAAGAATTACTTGCCCGCTAAACCAACTCCAGCTCACATTTTCCTAATACTAGTTTGAATGTTGCCGGCAACATGGTATATTCATGTTCACATCCTAAATGTAGCCTTCACTAGAGATCCAAACAGAAACCTTTCAAAGCTCTCTTCATAGCAACTTCTCTCTACAATCAACTGTTGTTGAGACAAATCTGGAGATAAATGGGACTCAACAACATAACTTTGTGCCTCTTGGTTCGCCTAAAACTTCAGGAGTTTAAAACCTGCAGATTCAAACACATTAATAAAGGCTGCTTATACCCCACTGTAAAGAAATGTTTTGATTGTGCTGCCATATTCTCTCCACTACTCATGAATTGTAGGACATTAATAAAGTTCCTGTGCTTCCATCTTGATGAAACAATAACCAACAACAACCCCCAACAACACCAGCCCGAACCACTGGACCCAGTTTCTTTGTTCCAAGCTCCTAATGTGAGCTGAGCAACTTTAAAATAACTGTTCCTATATAATTTTAATGGCACACACACAGACTGAGAAACCTCCCTGACCCCTAAGAGAGGGTCTTCAGAAGGGCTCCACATGGAACTGGGCTGGGAGAGCCATTTGCTTACTTATTCAGGATTTCCTTAGCTTAACTACCAATGCCTACAAGCTTCTAGTTTAGTCTGTTCAGAGGGGAAAGGGAAGACAAAATCCTCTTGGTTAGCAAATTATTTTCTTAATCATCACTCCTTACTCTTTTAAAAAAGTTCCCAAGTTACACATCTTTGCAAAATAACAAGTCATTCGTCTTTTCTCAGTCTACTCTCACTCCCATGGCTTCCAGGTTTTATCAGCATTTCAGGTGAGCAGAATGCCTCCTGTTGCTCTCTGAAGATTATCTGTCTTAATATTTGGCAATGTTTTGCTCTCATTTGCAGAGAAGCTTCCCTCTTTATATGCGCGCTGCCTTCTTTAGTCATATGCCCCAGCCAAAATACTCCGGCTCTGTCTGCATCAATGGAATTTGGGGTTTTTTGTGGGGTTAGGATGGGAACAAGACACATTCAGAGATTACATCTTTGACTACCTGACATTGGTCTCTCAGTTTTAGTTATTGCAAGTTGAGAGGTCAAACACTGCCTGGTCTGAGCATCATAATAGACTTCATCCAGATTTTTAGTACAGACTAGAAAAAGACAGAATGGCAAACCTAGCACAAATGGGCTCACAATACAAAACCAGTGTATGATTCAATGCAGATATTTTTGCTTCTCTTAAGTGCACCTGATTTCTCGTAACAAAAGCTATTGGGATGACAAGCAGTTACTGGTTAGGATAAGCACAAAAGGGAGAGAGGAAAACATGACTCAGAGTGGATTGCTTATTAAAGAAACTCATTATTTAAATATTAAAATAGGAAACACACTGCAGAGAAAGAAAAAAGTTCCATTTAACTGCTCTACACATTTCTTTCTTGTCATTGAAAGCTATCAGGTATCATTAAGTCTAATTAATCACATCCTGAATTCCCATGCGTAAAGTAAATCTGTTCATTTAGGGGATCAAAAAAATATATAAGACTGTGTTGTGTGATTTGCTTCTGTTTCTTATCCACATATGCTGTATCTCAGCTTCTCCTAGTGCAAGAGAATGTCCTCCTGAAATTAGGTACTGAACACATTTAACCTGTGTAAGTTTCAAAGCTAGCCCACATTTTCAAAGAAGATAAAAACACAAAAAATAAAAAATAATAAAATAAAACTCATCACTGATTATTTGACTCTTAGCTAAAGGAATTACATCTATTGAAACTACATTGCAACTACTGAGACAGTCTTTAGCTTAATTTTCACGGAACCGTCTTTGCACAGCAACGCACCTCTGGGGCAGAACATCTTCCTTTGCCATGTTCTGTCGAGCCACTAGATGTCCCTCGTTCCTACGTAAACCTCCAGGTGGGAGACAATCCATGAGGAAAAGCGGGACTCAGGTGGAACTCGGGCAGCGCAGAAGCACGTTTGTGTTCACATCATGCATAAGTTTCCTGTAACAGGTGCCGGTGGTTTGAATCACACACTGAGTATGATTCTGTAAGTCACAGCAGTTCCAGATATTGGTGCTCCAAACAGACAACGCCAGTAACTGTGTTCACACAAATTACAAAATCAAGAATCATCAGGCTGGAAAAGGCCTCCAAGATCATCAAGTGCCTTCAAACAAGTATGGCCATGCCCACTAAACCACATCAAAAAGTGCCATGCCTACCTGTTTTTTGAACACTTCCAGAGATGGTGACTCCACTGCTTCCCTGGACAAACCGCTCCAACTTAACTCATTCGGTTAAGAAATTCCTAATATTCAACCTGAGCCTCCCCTTTTGCACAAAAAAATGCCTGTTTGGCAAATACAAAAATCAGATGAGACTGAAGAAAGCAGATTAAGATAGCATTGAGGAAAATGGACCAGAAACCCAGGCATCACAGAAACCGCCATCATTCCATCCCAAACTACACATTGACAACAGCATTTTTCATATTCATGTTATTATTTTTTTGCCATTCATGAAGTAAAATGGCATAGTCTCTCATGGCAGTCAGGCTAGGTCTTATTTAATGAATCCATACATTTGTCTGTAGTTTAGTTGGGGTTTGGAAGGACCATATCACCATGTAGATTTAGATAACTCCAGTCTAGCCATGGAATGGTCACGTCAGCATCAGACTGTGAAGGGCTGGGCAATGTAAGCCAGACATGACATAAATAACAGCATTTGACTTACACTGGCAATGATGAAAGCAAAGTCAAACACTGCTCTGGAGGAAACAAAATGTTTCACCAAGTAAATAGTGTCAGGAAGCTGCTTGCAACTGCCCACTAGTTGTTCAACTCCCTTTTCCCTTCCTGCACCCTATCTGCCTTTCACAAGTTTCCTGATCTTCCTCAGTTAATTTATACCATCAGCACTTTGCAAGACCCTGCCACAGAAAGTGCTGCATCTCCAATTCTGTTTTGGAAACTCTTCCTCTGATTAGGACTCACTTCCTCAGTATTTTAAATTCACAAAGTGGAAGGGAAAAGTCACATCTAAGGAAAAAAAAAAGAAAACCTTCCTCTGGATTACTTTTGCTTTTTAAGTAATGTGAGTGATGCCAAATTATATCCATATAAGAAACAGGCCTCCAATGGCCTGTTGGCTTTTTTTTGTCAACAAAATGTTCATGACAGAAGGTCACAACATGTCCTTTCCCAGTTGTTTTTTAAACAGGAGCTCTGTCATTCTTCAGTAAGGATACATATAGAAGGTTCTGCCAACTCAGTGTACTTGTAACCTAATTTTAATGCCACTGACTGAACAATACAGATTTTCATTGCTAATTAAATATCAGATCATGGTGCACAATCTCAATGTTATTCATGCTTTTAATGCCTGATTATTTCAGGGGGACCATAAGTAGCTAAATGCCTTTATGAGTCTTGATCTTATTCTTAAAAGATGAAGGAAAAAAATATGCAGTTCTTAACAATGTATTTGTTTGTCCAAGGCATTGTCAAAGCACAGAGAGCTGGGAATGTAAGAACTTAAACCTACACAATATGCTTTTGGTCTTCTCTACAGGAGGCCTTTGAACTCTTCTTCTGATTCTCCTTCCCAGCTGCTCTCACACTGACTCCACGGGAGTGAGTGATGGTTGAACACATGGTTCTATACAACCATTGCTGGCCCTCCAATTGCTGCATCCAGTCTGGAGCTATTCAGATCAGAGTTCACAACAGTTGCAACCAATATCTTGTGTACTGGTGACCAGTTTCCAGCAGGCCATCTATCAGCAATACCAGAGAGGGTCAGATCCAGAGCCCAGTGACCATCAGTGTGAAGTGTTGTTTTGTTTTCAGTGGGATTTGTATCAGATTGTTATTTCCACTGATGAAAGATAAACTATTTGGGGGCTAATAAATCTTACAGCTCCACATAATCCCTGCAATTGCATAATTGCAATGCTTAATAACTCTGCTCTCACCAGTTATCTAACTAGTCTGAAGCTAAATGGATTTTTTTCACAGGCCAATACACACATTACACAGAATCTCCTTTCCCCTTGTTCTGTTGGCCATCTTTTTAATAGGAAACTGAGAGCTAAGAAATGGAGAGAACAGAATGACCTATTGAACCAATTCTGCTGCACAGCAGAGCTGACAGGAAAACGGCTGCCTGAGCTCAGGGTTCCAGGAATGGAAAAACAGATGTTTCTTAACTGCATTTAACAGATGCTATTCCAGCTTGAAACAACATTTTAAAATGCAGATCTCAAGTGTTTATGTATTTCCAAAGTATTCAAAGAATGGGAAAGTAGAAATTTCTTGCAAAGTCTTCAAGTAGTGCCAAGCATGCCTTTTATTCTTTCTTTTCTCCCCCTTTATTTGCCCAAACTAACTTCTCCAGTTTAGCATTCCTGTGGCTGATACATGCACCTAAATATGCATTGGTGCCTACATGCCTTAGATAATCAGATTAGGTAGATTAACAGTGCCACAAACCTTGCATGTGACTTTGGGCAAATCCCTTTATTTCCCTGGATCTCAGTTCTCCACTTATGCTACCTAGAGCTTGTAACTTTTCTTTAAGAACATCTCTCTCAACTACCAATACCTGCAATAGCTAATACATAGAAACCACAAACAAGAACACAGAGCTGGAGAATTGCCACAAAATAGATTTTAAAAATTAAATTAGCTATCAGCTATTCAGTGAATGGCAAGGGTATATACACCAAAATGGGTGAGACACAGGTGAATTGGAATTGCAGACTATCCTGTCAACTGGGAATGCTCTAAGTCCCAGCATCAGGTGTAAAAACAGAAGGGCAGAAATGTGAGAAAACAATAGTTCCCAGCCCTTTTTTCTAAGTATATTCAGGTTGCTGTGTTATTCAGCCATTACAGTCAATTCTTAATTTAGAATTAAAAACCAGGGAGGGAAGGAAAGACGTGCTGAAACGTTCTTACCCTGTGCTGACAGGTTTGCCTCTGAGTACGTTTAGCCCATGGAAGGAACTCTTCTGTCAAGCATCACAGAATTTGTGAGTTATTATTCTCATACTACAAATCGAGAACTGAAGTGACAGCAAGGAATAACCAAAAATATACATTAAAGATCTCAAGTCCATGGAACTGTGCATTTCCCAAGAATAAGCTTTAGCCCATATTTACATCGTTTCCTTCTTCCAGTTATGCCAAGTAAATCACAAGATCTGGCTGTGATCAAACTCTGAGCACTTCCTTCCCTGGCTGAAACCAGAGATATGCTACTAGCCCAAAATAGAAAACACCTCAGCTTAAATTGGTTAGCAGCTCTTGTGATAGCTTTGGTGAAAGTGAAGGTAGGGAAGATGACTTTACTGAAGGAGTTCTTGAACTTGTCAGATATTCCTCATGTTCAGAGTACTGTGCAGTCTGGGGTTGGGGAACTGAAGCTCTTAATGGGAAAGAGCTGTCACCATCAGTACCAACATAAAAGGAGCAGAACCACAAATTTAAGGAAGGTATTTCCTTGATGTTCAAAAGTACTTGCAGTAATTTCCTGGTGTTCTCCCATACACCCCATTGATACACAACAAACAGAGAACATTAAACCAAATGGGTTATCTTTACTAAAGAGTTATTGGGAATAGGATTCTATTCCACTAGAGAGCTGAAAAAATCACCACTTTTTAACAATGCAGATTTAGTCCAAAATTGATTCCTTTTCAAAAACCTGAATACTTTCTGAAAAAAAATGTTGACTTACAGAATGATTATTCTATGTTAAAAAAGTGAGCCATTATTCAAATATTTCAAAATAAAAACATAATATTTGGGATTAGAAATTATTGAAACACTCTCCAAACATTTTAAATACATAGACTGGAAACTTTAAAACAAAGACTTCAAATGTTGACTTTCAGAATTAAGATAACTTCTTGTTTTAAGCCAGCCATAGTAGAAATTCTTTGTACCTTTAGATACTGTATAATACAGCAGTCTTAAGGGCAAAACCACTGGATTGTAACAAGGCATTAAAGGTTGGTGATTAGAATTTAATGTAGATTGTAATAACACAGAAGAATTGATGCTGGGTGCTCTTGGTCTTTCATGGCCAGAGCCTCTGCTCTTGCTCCTTGTATTTTTGTCTCATAAATTGTTCAAAAACTTTAATAATTGAATTGACAGTCAAAATATCACTTCTCAACATTTGGTTCATATTCTTGTCCCAGCTATGCTGGTGCAACTCTAAATTAAACTAAATGCCTTACATGGAGTACCTCTATGATGGTGTTTGGAAGAAGTGGAAGCCTTTGAAAAACGTCTGTGTTTGCAGCCAAATAAAATCACAGGTGGTTACAGCCTCTGTGGCACACGATTGCCATCCAGTGGTAATTCCCAAACCTGAATTCACTGAAGGCATTCCCAGAGAGTTGACCAGCAGCCAGTGCTGCTTATATCTACCAACCTGTTAGCTGCAAATTCAAATTCCTGAGTAGCTATTGCTAAGCTGAGAGGAACCTTTCTGTTAAAAATTGATAACTTACCTCTTTAAAAAAAAAAAAAATCAGCTTTCCATATTGAAATAGTTTAGATGTATGTAGATTTTTGCTTCCTTAACAGCAGGAACATGCTGAAGGGGGAGGCCCCTGGCACAGCCATATTCACAGCTACTACCACCACCCTCTCAGCTGCTTTTCAGCCCCCTCTGCTGGCATGGCATTAGTCAGATCTGAGAGGAACACACCAGTGCTCATTTAAGCATCCTTGTACAGAGCTTCACCACCTGCTCTGGAGTGCCCTGTGCAGGGGATGGAGCTGAGACTGTGAGTGATCAAGCTTTGAGGCTGGTTTCATGTGAGTACTTACCCAGACATCAATATGGCTACTGGTACCTCTGATCTGCAAAGAACAGGCCCTGAGCTCAGACCTTCCACTTCCTGGATAAATGCTCTACCTGCTCTAGTAGATCACAGAAATGTCTTTCAGAGGGAACAGGTACAGCTCCAGTTGTCAAGACTCAGTCTGATTGGCATCCTTTAGAGAGGTTTGAGGATTACCTCTTGAACTGAGCCTCTCTGGAGAACTGAATGAAGCAACACAAAGCTTTTAGTTCCTGATTGAGCCAAGATATGAAAGAGTGCCAAGCTGCCCAGCCCTGTTGAACTGGTGCAGATCTAGGCACACAGAGAGGTTCTGTACAGCAGAATATTGCTCCTGTATAAACAGGAAATGTGGTTTGGGAATCTAGGCGTGATGCAAGGTCAGACACAGCTCACTGGGGTTTTTCCACTATCTCTGTTTTAGACATAGGAGCTCAAATTCTGCTCTAACCACTTATTTTTTGGACTTGGCCTGTAGCAAATAAAATAAATTCTGGTTAAAACCCCATGTATTTCATGCCAGTTGTACTGATCTACCTTGTTCTCTGTTTTACCCTCCCCCCATCTGTAATGTTTTCCCTTGTACTTAACTGTATCTCTTGCAGTGCAGATGTGTAGGAATGATTATGAATGATTCATGGATTTGTTTGGCCTGATTGCCCACAGATTAAATAACTTCATACAATGTTCCCATTGGCATTACAGGCATCTTACTTCTGAACAGGAATTGAGTTATCTGGGGTTGTGGAGGCACCATTGCTGTTGATACTTGCGATCCCAATGAGCAGCCCTCTCTGCCAGGTCTCTTCAGGAGATGCAGAAACAGGAAAAATAATCCTTTTCTTTCTAGGAAAAAATCCATTTTGATGCACCTTTTGCAGTAACATGTGAAATGAGATGCTGAACGTTCAGGCTGTTCCTAAGAGCAACACAGCAGTAGAGTTTCTCCCTCTAACTTCTGAAAGAGATCAGTGGGGTGCACATAAAACTGACAATTTCAGGTTTTTGTGATCATTTACTTCTACTTCATACTTCACTCTGTTCAAGAATGAAAAAGTACACACTAAATTAGTACAAATAAACTATTTTACCTACAATTAGTCTAGCCAAAGTGGTAATATTCAAAATTGTATGAAATATTAACAAGTGTGGAAAAAAAATATACACAAACATTTTGCATTGAAGAATAAAGACTCAAATGCTGAAAATGAGATTTATTCTCCAGGACCTAAATTAATGTGATTTGACTTATGAATTTTGTGTGGTACAATTGCTTTGAGACACAGAAGGGGAGAGACTGGTAAATCAGCTCTTTGTGTGCTTTGTAGCCATCATCACATTATGGATATGTGGTGGAATAAAACAATGAGTAATTTGCGTGTCTTAATTCCACAGCAGTTAAGTTAATAAGAACAAAAAAGTATCCTCAGACATTTTCAAAGCAGTTTGATTAATTTTCTGTTCACTAAACCCATGCTGCAATCCCCAATTAATTAAAAAAATCAGAAAAAAATGTAAAAAGAGAAAAAAAATCAGAACCCAAATGCTTATTACCAGAAACACAGATATTACTTGGTACAGTTTCCTCACATTTGACCAGTAAAACAGAACAAATATTTTGCTAGTCTTTTCTTAGGTAAGCTGCTTTCTCCTAGATAAATTTTTACTGCTGGCTCCTGTACACAGGGAAAGGAAATTATCTTCTTGGAATGCAAGTGCTCTGTCAGTGCAAAAGGCTGCAGAGGGCAGTTGCAGCAACAGGATTAATGAGTTGCTGGCAAGAGAAGCTTTGAGCAAAGGTAGGATATGGACACAATCACAATTTACATTTTCTGACATCTTTGCTGGGGCTTTCTACTCAGGAAAAAAAAATTGATTTGGGGGTGTCTAAATTTAGTGAAACCTTCATACTGTTCATATTTGATCAGACTAGAAATGAAAAGACAACTGGCAAAATCTCACCCTTCCAGGGTGCAGACCTCAAAGGAAGAGCCAAAGACAAGTGCAGATCTGCCACCTCCTGTTTCTAGTGTGGACAATACAACGACGG